CCCCCCCCATAGCTAGCAGTCCAAAACAGTCCAGGGGCACCTTTAAGACCAAGTTTTATTCAGGTACAAGCTCCCCCTCCTCTGCAAGGACAGATCTTCACGTTCTTCCCCCCATAGCTAGCAATCCAAAACAGTCCAGGGGCACCTTTAAGACCAAGTTTTATTCAGGTACAAGCTCCCCCTCCTCTGGGAGGACAGATCTGCACATTCCCCTCCCCCCCAATAACTAGCAATCCAAATAGTCCAGTGGAGTCTGAGTGGTGGGTGTTGCCTTCTGACACACTTCCTGTGATGTCAGGGGGTGTGGCATATGCAAATAAGTTATGCTAATGAGCTCCTGCACTTCTTTTTCTACTAAATGACCCCTGGGCGAATCATTCCCTCACCCACAGCGGCTGCCCTGGTTGTGGCTCCCCAATGCCACGTACAGTCTTGGCCCTCCAGTCTGTGGGGCCTCTTCACCTCAGCCATCTTCACACGCCCTGGGGCAGCTCCTTTGCCAGCCAGCTGACAGAGGCCCCATCTGCTTTTGCTGTGCGTGGGCCTCACGGCCCCTCTCCTCACTGAAGGGCCTCGCAGGGCAGGGTGGAGGAGGCCAACCTGGCAAGGACCAGGCAGACCACTTGAGGGCCCCACTGGCCGGCTTGCGGTCAGGGCTCTCTCCTGGCTCTGCTTGAAGCCGCAGGTGAGGCAAGAGAAGTATCTGACTCTGAGGACAGGGACATAGACACAAAGGTAAAGGTAAAGGTTCCCTTGCTCGAAAGCCAGTCGAGTCCGACTCTAGGGTTGCGGTGCTCATCTCCGTTTCAGAGCCAAAGAGCCAGCGCTGTCCGAAGACGTTTCCGCAGTCATGTGGCCGGCATGACTAAACACCAAGGCGCACGGAACGCTGTTTCCTTCCTACCGAAGTGGTACCTATTTATCTACTTGCAATTTCTTGCTTTCGAACTGCTAGGTTGGCAGGAGCTGGAACTAGAGACAGGAGCTCACTCCATCATGCGGCAACTCGGGTCTCGAACGTCTGAACTACTGACCTTCCACAGCCTGCAGTTCAGCGTCTTAACCACTTGAGCCACCGCAGCTCCCATAGACACAAACAGAACCACAAAAATAGACACACACACACACAGGTCCCTCACAGAGAGGGATATTTCTTGATGAGGAAGCCCCCTTTTCCTTACATGTTTGGTCTCACAACCAATGTCTTGTGAGGTATCTTGGGAAGACCAGTGGCCACTAGGATTCTGGGAATGTATGCCATACAATACACTAGAGTTGATGTTGTGTATAAAAAGGACAACCAGTGGCCTCTAGGATTCTGGGAATGCATGCCGAATTAAATGGGTCTGGATCAGATTCTCCGCGCCTGCATCCAAGCAGCACGTGCTCACTCCACACTCCGTATGGATCAGTGGTCCGCAGGAAGTCCATCTCTCAGCCGGCATACGGATTAGTGCTTTTAGCTCTGGGTAAGCAGTGTCATTTTAAGAAGGTAAAGGTTCCCTTGCTGCAGTTCAGCGTCTTAACCACTTTTTTTTTTTTGCATTTTGTAGATTGATAAATGCATTTCCCAGTGGCCCAGGGGAATTCCAATCAAAGGAATCCGTCGACTCCTGGGCCTCACTTTCCGGGGTCTCTTTGCAGGTGGGAGCGGGTCCAGCTCGGCTTGCTCTCTGACCGCCTTCTTCCCGGAGGCCACCGCGGGGCACAAATGGAGACTGTTGTGATCGTGGCCATTGGGGTGCTGGCAACCATCTTCCTGGCATCGTTTGCGGCCTTGGTCGTGGTGTGCAGGCAACGGTACTGCCGTCCCAAGGACTTCTTGAATCACTATGATACCAAGTAAGCGCAACGTCTGATGGAGAAATCGTTAGGGGTCAGTTCCTGTCTGGAACCCCAAATATGTTGTAGTGCGGAGAATTCTGTATCTGATCACCCGCACTGCTGCTGTCCCTAACCATTTCACGCACACCGGCACTGCACCCTGGTACACAAAGTGGTTTTTTGAGAATCATCAGCCCTGGTGGGGAGGCCACTGTGAGCCATGGCAGGTTTTTTGAGAATCATCAGCCCTGGTGGGCCACTGTGAGCCATGGCGTTGGAAATAGGTTCTAGGCAGTGAGCCCTTAGCAGGGGATGAAAAAAGAACTCTGCACAGTCTCAGAGGCACTTCGGTTGTCAGAGAGACATTGTAAAGTAGTCTGCACATTTATTTACCTATTTAAAACATTTCTATGCCCACCTCTGCAGAGTCCTGCTCAAGGCGGCTTGCAGTGATAAACTGGGTGGGGTTTTTTGATGTTATAAAATTGAAGCTTGGCATTGAAAACAGGTCAGGAGTGGAGTCCAGCTGAAAATCAAATGGCCCTCTGTGCATTCTCAGAAGCATCTGCTTCCACCTCTGAGGGATTGCGTAGATATCCTTTGTATGCTGAAAAGAGCAGTCGTTGTCGAATGTTGCTGTGTGTTCCAGATGTGGCACCAAAAGCAGGTTCTGGAGCTCTGCCCCAGGTGAATCGCCCTGGGAATGATGTTTCCTCTCATTCTGCAAGGATGCTCATCATGGGACTCCATCAACATTCTTTTGCACTAGGAAATACAGGGAGGGGAGAGGAAAG